GGGCCGGACAGCATGGTAAGGCTGCAGGGGATGGGGGGAGCCGGGAAGGGGCTTTGGGTGCCCAGCGGCGCTTGGCCGCCGCTTTTCTATCTATAAATAGCCGACCGGGGGGAAATCCCGGACATTTTTTAGATTTTTTTAAAATCCCCCCCCCCCGGACGGCTATTTATAGACCGAAAAGCCGGACATGTCCGGGGAAATCCGGACATATGGTAGCCCTAGTGAGGTCAAGTACAAATATTTCCACTTATGAGCAAAGCAGGAGTCCGGATTTACTGCTGCAGTTCAGTAGCATCAGGGAAAGGCCGACTTGCCACACCACCACTTAAAGAGACATTTAGCTATTGCTGTTTGCAGTGCTATTGTAGCTGTGTTGGGCCCAGGATATTTGAGAGACGTGTTGGGTAAGGTATTATCTTTTATTGCACCAACTTCTGTTGGTGAAAGAGACAAGCTTTCAAGCTTACACAGAGCTTCACTTCTTACTCAGGTCTGAAGAAGAGCTTTGCGTAAGCTTAAAAGCTTCTCTCTTTCACCAGAAGTTGGTGCAATAAAATATATGACCTCACCCACCATGTCTCTCTAATTTAGCTATTGTAGGCATTTACTTCATACAGGAGAGACATCCAAAAGCAAAGTAGATTTGTTCAAAGATTAAACCAAGGGAGTAAAAAATCCTAACATATGAAATGCTGAAGATTTTGGTTTTGTTAAATTTAGCAATTACCTCCCATTTTCCTAGCATAAAACTGAGTTTAAGGGCAAAACTGAACCATTTGTGCAGAACAGGTGAAATACCGTCCCATACAGAGAGTCAGCACAAGACCTGCATGTTCCTCTGGTCCCACTTAAGGCCTATATTGTCCCCTTGTAGAAAATTCAGATGGTTCAGCAGCCCCAGGTGAGGAAAGCGAACGAGACTGGGCCTATTAATCTGTGCTTCCACTACCTATTGAAAATTGGTCATCCTGGGGGGGGACATTATGGTACTGCCTTGATAGTCAGTAAATCTTGAGAATTATTATTAGCTTCCACCATTCCGCCCCCCTACCCTGCAAAATTCCAGTGATTTTAGTTTTTTATTCCTTGTTAAAAACACAAAGCGAATCCTTGTTAGGCTCTCTCTGTCCTTCAGGGAATCTCTCCGATTCTTTCCTTCGTTGCATGTGAAAACTGGAATTTGACATGGAAACACTGAGAAGTTACTTGTGAATAAAATGCAAGTTTTCTAGGCTATTTCCCATTCAAATCTGCAGCATATGGTATTGCATATTTCCAAATATCTGTTACTAGCAGTGTTTTTCAACATGTGGCACAAGGCTCAGATTCTAGAGAATGAAACAGTTTAAACACTGTTCACACTGTACTATCTGAAATGGTTGCATCCTTTTAATTAGAAATGAAAATGAAAGAATAATTCTGTGTAGAAGGAAGTGATATTTTTTCTGGCCAAAAGAGTTTCATAATATGTGTATTAGTCACATCTTAATTACAGATCCAAGCTTGCTGAACATACAGCATTCTATCACTTACACAATCAGAATGCATCATGAAAATGAGACTTTTTTCCCTTGAGGTGCAGCAAAACCTGTTCTTAGAGTTAGTTTTACTGAAGGACATCGGATTTCATAACGTTTGGTTAGTGTTTGTTCGTACTCTTTCTGCACCTCTGATACACCCAGATGAAAGTCATGAGTCAGGTGAAGAGATCAGTCAAAGCACCAGTCAAATTGCACCAAGCGTTTTGGCATTAAAGACTCTGGGTTCCTGAATTCCCTGGTCCTCGATCTGCCTTCTATAAAGTGAGTTGCAGAAGCAGGCTTCTGCTCTTTAGTGATTGAAAAGGAAGAGTCATTCAGTGTGACTCAACAGAAAAATAATTGAGAAAGAAGGGAGGAAATATTGATCTTGCAGAAAGTCACCTCAATTCACAACAAGGTCTAACTGCCTTTGCTCCTCACAGGACTCCATGTGTGGTGGTTTAGGCACCTTGTGGCCTTAAGTCTCCAGCAGCACTAATTAACCTATTTTAGGTGCACAGAAGAGATCAGAAACCTTCCTCATCCTCTGCATACTTTCTTGGTAGGCAATGGAGACGTGACAGCTCCATGTTTCTAGCCTGCCTTGACTTCTCTCACAAAAAAGTCTTTTGTAAAAGCAGGAGTACTAGATGGTTCTTTAAACCGGCCTCTTTCAACTAAGAGAAGCAGACTAGCTTATCAGTGTAGTTATAAGACTCTTTTTAAAGTTATCCTGCCTTAAGTCAGAAAGTCTCACAGTCAATCTCATTTTCTCTGAAAATCAAAGAGCTGCTTGCCGTTGAGGAGAGAGTGCTTGTCAGAACCACACTCCCTCTTCCTGGTCTTTGAGAATACTGTACTCTTTTGGCCTATCAGGAGAAACCCAACTTTGCTAATCCTTATTCTTGTCCCTGTAACAGATTGAAGCAGAATTACTAGTATTTTATCCATTGCAAACTGAGTAGAAACTACTACCAGACTAGCCAGTCCTTTCGTTCCAATGCCATGTGAGCATAAACTCAGAGCAAACAATCTTGTGCTTTCCAAGACTTCCTGGTTACTTTTCCCATTCGGATTTCCAAGGACACATAGGCATTTCACACTTCAACATGAGTGGAAGCCAAACTTCTCTTTCCACTGGGACCTTTACAGAGTATTCCACAGAGTTTCTAAGGCCTGCACTACAAATTAGATTAAAGTGAATAAAACGTACTGCTTTGAAAGTTGCACATGATATGTTATGTCCATATCTTGCCTTCCCATTAGGCTGTAGTTTTACTCCTTCCAACAGAGCTGAGGTTTGTAAATAGGAGTTTTAATAAGAATCCGTGTTTCCTAGTCTACATCAGACAGAGGCTGGTTTAGGTAAGCAGATGAACAAGTGAAGGCTTTTTATGTTATGATTGATAAAATAATCACGATATTTAAAATGGGTGCATTCAAGAAAAATAGTGTGATGATGAAAATTAAATCTTATTTTTGTTCTAGGTTCAGAGTCCTTCTTGGATGCAACCTCAACCATATATAATGCAGCACCCCGTAAGTTCTTATGCTTCCTTCTCCCACTGTCGCTCTTTTTGTGTTTGTGTAGATATAAAATACTTCACAGCTTTCTGAAGATCTCAAACATTCTTCTTCAAGTAATTGTCCCTACCAATGCTTCACTTCAGGATGTGCACGCGCCTGTACACTCTTGAGTGGATATTTTGCCAGCAGTGCCTGTGGGTCCATGACTGGTGCGATGGTATATAGGGAAGACAGGCCATTACCATTTCAGTTCCTTCTCAGCCACCTGCAGCTTGAGATGGAGTGTTGCAGTGCCCACTTAGCTAGCTGCACAGCTTGCTAACTTTTTTCTCTTAGTTTTTCATTTGTTTAGTACAATTTGTGCTTTGGGGGATTCCCCCTCCCTTTTTTGCCTGGGGTAGGTTTATAGTCCAACTTGGCTCTCTTCTGCAGACTTTCCTAATGGGTTATGCCAAGATACTAGGCTTCAAACCTGTCTGACTTGCCACATATCTTTGCCCTGTAGCGACAGGCACTCTGGCTGCCTTTGCTGCCTTGGGGAGACTCCAAATCCCCTCCAGGTGTGAGATCTGCACTGGATTCAAAAGATCTAAAAAAAATAAACAGGGAGGATAAACTAAAACTTCCTCTTATGGAAAGTTCTCTGAGACTTGTGGGGTCTGAGTCAGTTTCCCACCCACTGTACATCAGCTTCAGATCCTCAGAGCTCCCTGGTGACTGTTTCTGCTCCAGTAAGCAAAGACCGTGGAGGCCCTTCAGATTCTTCCAAAACACCAAAAAAGAAAGAGACCCCTTTCTCCAGAACAAGAAACCAAGAGGAGTGGAAAGTCACCCCCTCAAACTGGGATTAATGAGTCCTCACATCCCAGTATGGGTACTGCTGAGGCTTCTACTCCCTCTAGTACTGAGACCCCAGCACTGGCTCAAAAGACCTTGCTGAATACTGATAAGCATCCAGCAAGCAACTTCAAGGGGCATCAGAGATGGTACTGGACTCGGTGCCTGTGAAATATAAGGACTCCTCAAACATCAAGGTGTTCAACTCCTTGGTACTGTCTTCCTCAGCTAATGGTAAAGAATGCATGGACCATTCCTTGATATTGTCTCTGGTACCTCCCAACGTGCAGCCTCCCAAGGAACACTATCCAAACTTCCCAGTACCTGGAAGAAACTGAATTCTCTCCTTTGAGAGGTACCGGCAGGGATTTCCCTCCAGCACCAGTTTATCTTCCAGAGTCTACTTACCCTTCCATGACAACTTCACCTCTGGTATCAGTGTGGTCTCCAGGTATACACAGGGGGACTTGACCTCTGGCATTGATGTGCTCTCTGGCTACCCACAGGAAGGGTACTGAGAGAGACTTCCCGCTGGTACCAATTCATAGCTCCAGAGCTGATGGTTCCATCTGTGAATTCTCAATAGCCAGTACTGATGCAGTCACTGGTCCCTCACTGGAAACCTGTACAAACACCACTTGCCCCCAAGACATCCTCTGACTTTTGAGTTGTTGGTTTAAGGTTTCTCACCCTTTTCATTACAGTCTCTTTCCCTTGGAGTGCATCCCAAGGAGGAGAGTCCCAGTAGCATATACATCTGGCAGAAACAACCTTTGGGTCCTACCTCTTTTCTTTACATCCCACCACAGTGGGCCCCCTATGGTGAGCACTTTTACAGGGTACCCTCATAAGAGGACTCCTCAAGAACAGCAACAACTGTCACCAGGTCTTAGTTCACAGGAGGAGCCTCCAGAGGAGGAGCAGCCAGGTTGAGAAGAGGAGACACCTCCTTCCCACAAATCCTCCTCCTCACCAGAGGAGACTGTTATGCCCCCGCTTCCCATCCTAGATGATTTCAGGGCCTTCCAGGAACTTGTGAAAAGAACTACAGAGATCTTACAAATCCCACTAGAGGAGATGCAAAATCTCAGCATTCCTTGCTGGACATTCTCCAGGCCTCACTGCAGGGCAAAATTGCCTTACGATCAACAACACTCTACTGTCACTAACTGATAGGTGCCAATGGTTCTGGTCAAGGAGAGGACATTGTCGCAATTCACTGGGAGGTGCTCTCAGTATCCGTCGGCCTAGCGTATTCGTCTGTGCTTATCCCTGATGTCATTACTGTTCAATCTCCTGAATAAGCTGAAACGGGAGAGATCAGTGGCTATCCTCTTCACACAATCATAGACAAGGCAAATATGGTTCCCAGAGCTTCTTTGACTGTTCCTGCAACCATCTCTCTGTCTTCCTCTGTCAGTGAATCGCTACACCCAGGAATCAGGATCCATGATTCACCCCAGCCTCTTGTTACGTCATCTCAAGGCATGGGTATTAGATGGCTCTCTGGAACATAAACCAGGTCAGCTCTCCAGAGATCCAGACAGTACTACTCAGTAATGGGAAATCCAAATATAGAAACATTTTCTGATCTGGTACCGCCTCTCGAGTCTCGCCTTTCCAACATTCTTAATTTACTTGGTAAATTTGAAAACTGCAGGATTATAGCTGAACTCAGATAGGCTCTAATGGCAGCTAGAAGAATTCATTCATTCTCTCTCTCTCTCTCTCTCTCTCTCTCTCTCTCTCTCACACACACACACACACACACACACACACACACACACACACACACACACACACACACACACACACCTTTGAAGAGTTTTCAGTCTTTGCTCACCCAACCACTGCAAAGTTCATTAAAAGCCTGTTTAACCTTTTTCTTACTGTCAAGAAACCAGCTCCTCCAGGGGACCTCAATTTAGTTCTTAACATGCTAAGAAAAGCCCATTTGAACCTCTGGAGTGCTGTTGCCTCCTTCATCTATCTCTCAAGATCTCATTCCTTATAGCCATCTCCTCAGCCAGGATAGTAGAAGAGCTAGGAGGCCCTTATGACTGGCCCACCAGACATGGTGTTTTATTGTGACAAAGGGACATCATTTCCCTCACCCCCATTTCCTACCTAAGGTATCTTCAGAGTTCCACATGAATGTCCTAATTAATCTACCGATGGTTTACTCCAAGCCTTACCCTTCAAGAGAAGGAGCTAGTCTCCATACACTAGACATAAGAAGAGCTTTTGCTTTTAACTTTGATAGGACTAGGCCCTTCAGGGCTTCTCCTAGATGTTTACTCTCCAGCACAGAAAGAACAAAAAGGCACCCGATCTCCACCCAAAGACTGTCTAAATGGGTTTCAGGATTACTAAATTTCAGGGGTGCATCCCACTCCTGGAGTGATGGCTCATTCCACCAGAGTGCAGTCTACTTCTGTAGCCTTACTGAAGAAGGAACATGTCTCAGACATTTGCAGAGCTGCCACTTGGTCATCAGTGCATGCTTTTTCCCAGCATGGTGCTCTTGTGCATGCTTCCAGAGCTGATGCATTACCTGCCCTCCTTCCCTATGTTTTGGAGTTATTCTTGAGCTTTGGGGTTCAGAAGGAACTGGAGCAGTAGCAGGTCCACTCTCACCTATACATCCTCACACTGGAGCACAAAGTTGCATAAGAGGCAGGTGTGGACCCATGGGTGCTGCTGACCAAATCTCCAATCAAGAGTGCACAGTTGTGCACACATCCTGAAGTGGGAGCACCATAGGGACAAAACATCTAAAAGAATTACAATTTCTGTACAAGGTAAGTAACTCTCCTTTCCATATTTTTTTCTTGGATTTTGGTGATTCCACCGTGGGACTCTGTAGGCTAAGAAGGAGGGAAGAGGAGGTGATCAGTTGGAATTGGAGTTCAGTCATGACTCCTGCTACTTCACATTTTAACTAGCCCAGCCTTTCTGTGCCAGGGCTCAGTTCTCCCCTTTGCTGGTCCTCAATAACAATGGCCCAGGTTCACTAAGGGACTTAAGTGCCTAAAGCCAATATTTAGGCACCACTGCAATCCACAAAATCCTGCTCAGCTGCCACTGAACACTAGGTACCTAAGCTCATTCATCACCTAAATATTTGCTGTAGAATTCCCTTAGGTGCCTAAGTTTCTGTCTCTGGGCATGTGCACTGCTTCTCAGGCAGATGCCGAGATGCATTGTATGCCTAAATCCCAACATGATCTTCAGTCCAGATGGAGATAGTCATGTCCCTGCCTATTTTGCCTGTGGGAGCTAATCCAGTAGACATACTCAGAGCCTGTCTATCCCCATACAAAACAGCCAGGAGGAGGAGGTGGCAGTGGCCTTCCTTATAATCTTCAGCCTAGTGGTTAGGAAACTCACCTGAGATGTGGGAGACTCCAGTTCAATTCCTCTCCACTCCCAAATGATGAGATGAGAGAACTTGAACCTCTCAAGTGAGGGCCCTAACCACTGGGCTATAGAGTCATTCTCACATTTTTTTTGTCACTTTGAAAGTGAAAGATAGGAAGGAAAAGGGACATGGTCTGTGACAGGTTGATGAGGACAACTACATTTATCCCTAGGGCAATTTCCCGAGGGATAAGTACATCCTTTTTTTAGGATGCTGAGATTAAACACTTTGTGACATAGCCCATGTGGTGGTAATATCCATGTGATAAATTGCAGAGCCAATTTTAAAAATGCTCTAGAGCAGATCTAAAATAATTCAGGCCACCTGTTTTACAGAAGCAAAATATATGGTATGATATACACAGATTTATGGGCACTCATTTAGTTGCCCATGGCTTCCCCGCTCATGAGTAATGCGGGTCACCCCCCTCGTGGCTATGATATTTTTATATCACACAGTCATGTATTTTTATATATATAATTTGCCCATCATATTTCCCCCCTCATCAGTACCATTCCACATCAAAATGACTGAGTTTATTGGTACTGACATTATATACACTGACTCGTGCTTTAATATATGCAGTGCCATGGCTGACAAACAAGCACATTTTCAAATCTAGTGAGGAAATTGCCTTGACTTTAATTAACCTCCTTATGCAGGCTGGAAAATGTAAATCTTTTTGGCAAAGTGTTTTCTGTTTGTGCAAGCAAAAAAGATGGTGTTGAACACTTACATCCTTTCAACATGCCCAACTGATGCATATTTCCAAGTTTGTCATTAATGGAGACAACTGATTTTATTTACACCCTTTATCAATGTAGAGTTTTGAAATGATAAACAAGGTTGAAAGCCTGTAAGTTATCCTGTGAGAAATGCAAATTAATAGGTTATCATGCTATTAGGGATATTCCATTTACAGGTGTGCAATTCTAGCTATTATCTCGGTGAAATGAAAGATCTAGATTCCTGACTTCTCAGTTTTGGTCTTCGGCCTGTGTGGAAGCTTGTGCGCGCTCTCTCTCTCTCATTTGCTTTGCAGAGACGCTTGCAGTCTGCAGAACAGGAAATTCTTGCAGTGTTTGTGCCTGTGACTCATTTCATCGACACTGGTCACATGATTGTTTTTCTAACTACACTCAGTACTTTATACAAAATATAAGACCTGCTGTAAAAGGAATAAATTATTCATTCAAAAACACTGACTTTCAGTATACTATAATTATTTCTATTAATTTTCAGCCTAAACCACTTTCAGTCACACACCTGCATATATAACACATACAATATATTTAGAAACCTAATTTTACAGGAACATCTTAGGGTGGAAATAAACCCCATCTGTATCCATCCATCTAAATTAACCACCATGCATTCTTATGAGTTTTCTGAGCATCTGTACAGCAACTGAATATTTGGCAACTTCAGCTGCGTAAAAACTATGTCCACTGTACATACGAAGATGGAGAGACGTGACACAAATGTGGTAATCCCATCATGTTAGATAGACTTTCTACAGAAGAAATGGTATTTACAACATAGCCCTCTGGTACTCGTGCCCTAGTGAAACTGTTTCTTCACTGATCAAAAGTTACAATGCCTAACTCAAGGGTATGAAACTTGCACAGGCAGTCATGGAAGTGCATCATTTGTTGCTGTGGAGGAAAATATTCTCTCTATAAGACAGTGACACATGAAATACACCTCTACCCCGATATAACATGAATTCGGATATAACGCAGTAAAGCAGCGCTCCGCGGAGGCAGGGCTGCACACTCTGGCGGATCAAAGCAAGTTCGATATAACGCGGTTTCACCTATAACATGGTAAGATTTTTTGGCTCCCGAGGTCAGCATTATATCGGGGTAGAGGTGTATTTGCAGGTCTATCTATTGTACATCATATCTTGCACTTTTGGTTGGTAGTTAAGCAGTTAGTTTACAAATTCAGATTGGTGCATGTATAAATCGGATAGTTAGCTATAAAATGGAGTAAAATCCTTAGGATCTTCAAGACCCGCTAGTATCCAGACTCATTGTTGCGGGTTAGGGAAAACCCTATTGGTATACGCTTTCGGAATTAAAGTCCATGTTTTACATGCCTGAGCCAAAAGAGAAGTGTTATTAAAATCTAGACGGTCTCATTCTTAAACTTGTTTTTTTTCTCCTATAGGGTGCTGTATTGACTCCCTCCATGGACCACACCATGTCACTACAGCCTGCATCAATGATAAACCCTCTGACACAACAGATGAGTCACCTTTCATTAGGCAGTACTGGAACAGTATGTGGCAATTTAATATAAAGCTCAGCATATACAAAGGGAAAATGTTGTGTATTGATTACAATATCTGTGTAGTGTACATGAAAACCAGCCCACTAAGTGTTTTTTCTCCTCAAAATGTAAATAGCTGTTTCCACACTTCAGTACAGATTCTTTAGGGCAGAAGAGTAAGCAGACGAGCTAGTGTAGTAGTGTGAAATGCACTCCAAATACATGGAACAAAACAAATGAAAGTAGCCCAGTTTAAGCAGTTTTAATTCTAGAACTGGACTTGAAGCAGAAACAATGGTGCTGAGTTCACTCTGCAGGGTTCAGTGTTGTAAATAAATTGTTTGATTCACATACGTTTGTCTGATATGAAGACATTTGATCTGCTAAAAACCTCTTACATCTGAATATTAAATTCTGTGCAATGTTATATCTAGCATACCAGATGGTAGTTTGACATAGAGAAGTACCTATACCAATTCATTTAATACAGATGATTGAAGAGACCCGTCTGATGGTAACTTTTGCTCGTTATTGACTTAAGCTAAATTTGAACCACTGACCTAAAGGAACACCATGAGCTTCCTAGTTTAAACTACATTCCTCATGGAAACAAATACACTAAATTAATAAAAAATACATGGCACACTTTATTTAGATAAAGTCTGGCCTCCATCAGTGTACTTTCTTGCCACTTCTCAAATATAAATGTAATTATCCTCATAACACCTCTGTCAAGCAGAAAAATACTATCCTCTATGTTCACAGATTTGAAACTGAGGCACAGAGATAAGAGCCTTGCTCAAAGTCACACGGTGTATGGCAGAACAAGAATTTGACACAGATCTTCTGTTACAAGCCAGTTCCTTAACCATAAGATCATCCTTCCTCCTTGGGTACATACTGTTAAGAAAAAGACTCAGACTGGAATTTTTTTGCAAGGAAAATACTTAACCTCTTTGTTTCTGAAGGCCAAAGTTGAGTTTGTGTAATAACACTGCTCAGTGGAGTACACCTCACCTCTCTGCATTTTGATGAAGCTTGCTTTGAATCCTCTTCCTTACCAAAGCACTCAAATATATATTTAAAAAAATGTTATGGGGTGTGTATCAGATTTTATTTTAGCTGAACGTATTCTCTGTCTTTTTAGTACATGCCAGCCACAACAGCTATGCAAGGAGCCTACATACCCCAGTATACACATGTTCAGACAGCAGCTGTTCCTGTTGAGGTTGGTAAATTTTATACGAGGCAGGCTATTATAGCCAAAATTGTTATATTTATTGTTTTGCCAGAAAAAAACATACAGATGAAAACGTTACATTATGCAGGACCTTTAAGTACAAATTCAGTTTTACTAAACTACCACCATGTCATTATTTTCAGCTAATAAATGTACTGCACCAATGTGAACTTCTAATGGTTAGTTCTTCCATCCAAGCAGCGACCCAGCCCCGCCCTGCTTAGCTTTGAGATGTGACTGCATGTTGCAGTTCCAGGGGGAGCTATACCATTGACCATTCTCAGTCTCTCCTTGGGCAGTCTTTCCCAGTTACAGGCCTGTAACTCTCAGGGTGTAACACTATGTACACCACTCCTGTCCATCAACCATGTCCTCAGCAGGTCCAGCTGGATTTTGGCCCCTGCTTAGACTTCTGACCCATGGCCACTAAAAAAATGTAGTGACAGAGAATAGTGTGTTCAAATCAAAGTATTATTTATTCATCCACAGGAAGGAAAAGGGTTAAGGAACAAAAAGCCTATATGTATATTATCTTACTTAAACCTTAGCATTTCCTTGCAAGTTTACATAGGCCCCACTTATCCCAAGAACCCCCAGCATTGGGGCTGGGCAAGGCAGATTTCACCCCTGCACCTTCTCATTCCCTAGTCTTTTTTTTATCTCCCTCTGCCCACACCCTGAAGTTTACAGGCCAGCTTTTATCCATTTCAGAGTCTGTTTGTCCTGAGACACTTGACCCTGTTCAGTATGATTTACACATCTCCCCAGATGTGTCAGAGGCAAACTTTCAGTGGTGGATTCACTGTATTGTCCTTTTAAGTACCAGACATTGAATTATGCTGTGGTATTGTAGCTGTGTAGGTACCATGATATTACCTCATCTCATCTCATCTGATATCTTTTATCGGACCAACTTATGTTGGTGAAAGAGACTAGCTTTCATTGGCCTAAAGAAGAGCTCTGTATAAGCTTCAAAACTTGTCTCTCTCACCAACAGAAGTTGGTCCAATAAAAAATACTAGCCCACTCACCTTGTGTCTCTAGCAGTTGAATTAGTCATTGCCTGGTTACTGGGATATGTGTTGAGAGCTCTAGCGGAACTAATCCTTAGTGTTCCGTAGAGCCAGCCACACTACAGTACTCAAGCAGATACACACAAAATTTATGGGAATACAGACCTCTGTTCTTCACACTGACTCACAGCACAAAGATGGTGACTTGTAGTGGTCTACAGAAAACTTCAGAATTTATTCACTCATTTTTTAATATGTTTGTGTTGTTCTATTCTGTTAATCTCATCACATTGTCTAGTTATTGCTATAGCAATTCAGGAAATAGAACATGTACTTGATCACTTTATATTTCATTAGATCTTCTATTATAAATAAAAATTAAGGCCAAGTTGGATGCATCAGATTCGGGGTGCCTAACTTGAGAAACCTTAGAGAGGGGCTTGGTTTTTTTTAGAAGGATGGAGGAGAAGATGCTTAACAGTTTCTGAAAGCCAGGCCCAGTCAAGTGTCTTGTGTCAACAGAATACAGAGGCATCCAAAATCTCTAGGCATTGCTGGGCATCATGTCTCAACCCCTTTTCCTCTTTTACAGGAAGCTAGTGGTCAACAGCAGGTTACAGTAGAGACGTCCAGTGACCATTCTCCATATACGTATCAGCAAAACAAATAACTGAGGTAGGGGCTTGTCCTGTTACTCTGAAAAAGACATGAATTCAAAACTAAATGTACAATATACTGTAGCTTACAAAAGTGATGTAATCTAAATAAAACCCCTAATAATTTAGGGCCAGTGCCTAGCGTCAATTTGAGTTTTGCCAGAGTAAGAAATTAGAAAAAATAGAGTACAGGCTTCAAGATTAGGCCCTTAATGAATTATCTGAAATAATTTATTAGTACTTTCTCTGGCACACAATTGCATACCATTCTACTTTAACTTTTCACATTGAGACATCAGTGCTTCCATATATGTCATCGGACTTGTTCAGAGAACAGTTTGAATCCCAGCACTAACTTGGAAGTGGGTTTCCTACAGAGAAGCAATGCCACTCCCAGTGGGATGATGCAATGGAATCTCCTCAAGGAAATCCTTGTTGAGTTTCACTTGTAAAGACTCCCCTTCCATGTCTTTACTACTGTAGAAAGGAGACTGACTGGTCAACAAAGTGTTAGTCCTGGCTTAAATTTGTCTCAGAGTTAGTTAATTTCCTCCTTTTCATAGAGAATGTTCCATTTGCTTTTCTTAATAAGTCACTCATTTGTTTGGACTGTAACCCCTTCCGTGCAGCACTGCTTTTTATAGCTTGCCACCTTTAAAGTGTTGTTTGCATTGACCATTTCCCTAGCATTCCATTTTCTTCATTCCATCCTTCCAAGACCTACGCTTCTCTGCTTTGTCTTTCCCCCAACCATCATGAACCCTATACTTCAGTTGCATACATTTTTATAAAGTTTTGTTAGACTTCACACTGAAAGAACTTTATTCATGCACTAGAAAGTGAATCTCTTGCTGCATTGTTTATGTGCCCAGAAAGGTTCATAAAAGTTCATTTCTATAGCTCTCATGATACAGGTTTATTAGAAACACAGAAAGCACCAGCAGTTTTATGATTGTGCACCTTCTGTACGTATGACCCTCTCCTTCTGAACCAAATCCTGTTTTCCTACTGCACATTCACTGATACATACATTTCTCAATTACCTTTGGTTTTGCAGGTCAAGTATGTTCTGTGGTAACTGGTAACACTGCTCTCATCCCAAGTATTCAGATAAGAATTTCTTCTGTACTCAAGAAGTCTAATAATTGTCATATAAAAAAATTCAGTAGCTGAGCACATTTTATCTGATTCCATATAATAGTGAACGTGTCTGCGTGTTTGTTACTTTACATCGGCCAAATACTGGCCCCTACAGGAATCCCAAGTAAACAGGCCTTGCACATTCCCATTCTTCCTTTTGAGGTTGAGGGGCCTAAATCCTACACTTCGCGATTACCCAGGCACATCCTGTGGACTGTTACTGCACCATGGCCCCTGCATGCTCCCAATTCAGGGCATCTGGCTTGTGGGTCAGTATAGTTCAGATGCATGGTCTTGTCCTAAGCCTTCTCTGTGGGCCTGTGGAGACTGCTGCTGCCAAGCAGTGATCCAGGGCACACAGGGAAGCAAAGTTCTGCTCTTCATATCCTGTCCCTAGCAACAGATCAGTATTATCTCCACTCGTTTGGGGCTTTGCATGTTCACAGAGCAGAAGGGACAGCATTTGGCCTCTTGAAGAGATGGTAAAACTGCTACCCAGTTTCTCTGAGGCATATTATAGTAGCCACCATTGGAAACATTGAGCACTCCCCTTAAAAGTCAATATTGCATGAACGTAATATCTTAAGAAGCATTGTTATTAGTGTTTACATGCACTATGAGTCAGTATGGTCCCTATAAGTAATGAATAGCAGGGTGGAGAAGAGTATTAAAATTACTAAACTGAATCTGCAAAATAATGTTCCTCCCCATGAATGCGCCAACAGTAGTTACCATTTAAAAAAAAAAAACACTCAGTAGTTTGAGTGCAGGGTCACAGTCCCTAAGCTTTCAGTAAGCAGAACTTCCAGGGGCGAATCAGTGAGGTTGTGTGTGAGGGGGAAAAAAAACTATAGGATAAGGTTGTAATTAGGCAAAGGACCTATCCAGGGAGGTGCTGAGCACCCTCAACTCCCAGGGCACTTGGCACCTCCCTGATCAGGTGTCAAGTATGTACATGGGCTCACTTGGTCCTCTCAAAACTACATCTGAGGTAAGAAACAATTTAGTTCATAGATGTCTACAATAGAAGACAATGCAAAAGTAACTCTGCCCTAGCTCTGACTTCTTTATGTTACAGATACCCAGTGTTGACCTTGCCTGGAGAAGGGTGCAAAGGCTGAAACAATCATGGATTTTACTGATCAATTGTGCTTTAGGAATTATTGACAGTTTTGCACAGGTTCTTGAAAACATTATTTATAATGAAATCAACTAAAACTATTTTTGCTATAAGTTCTATAAGGTGCATAAAAAAAATCCTTAAATTCATCTAGTAGCTGTTCCTGTGAACAGGTTTATTTTAGTAAGAAAATTTTTATCAAGTGTTATGACGCAATTTTTTTTTTTTTTTTTTTTTCAAATTTCTGGGTATGCACAGATGACCACGAAGACTTATTTACGTGCATGGCAGAATTTGTATTTTGGGTTTTTTTTTGTTTGTTTTTGTTTTTGTTTCTTTTGTTTTGTTTTTTTATTGTATGAAATGGGTTTTCTGAAGTTTAAAATAGTAAAACATCTAAAATGATGATCTGTGCTTGCAGTGTGTGAGTGTTGCTACAGTGCAGTGTTGCAGTTAGTGTCTGTTCTCTTAGCTTTCTGTTTTTCTTTTAACGTAGTGTGAAGTGTCTTATCCTTTTCTATAAATTCCAATTTGCCTTAAATCTTTCATGCTGTAGCTGTTTCAGTAAGTAGTCCAAACTAATGGTGTAGAATGCTTTGACCAAATGAGCTGGTCTATTATGCCTTGTAAAACAGCAGCATAGGGCTTTTAAAAGGTAGTCAATAAAAATTGCTGAAAATTTGGCTTTTTTTAATGTGTAGTAGGTGTTTTTAATGATTTTTTCACATAATATGTAAGGTAGTGAAATGCAAGAGGGGAAAAATGTTTTGTGTGAAACACATTTTCTGACTGGGGGAATTTTAATAGGATAAATTGTTTGTAAGGCCATATGCCAATAGTTTCCTCTGATAGTTTGAATGATTTAGGAACTCTGCTGTATGATGCAATGTAAAATCTTTTTTTGCCTTTTTTCAGAAACTAACTTGATGTTCTAGTTTTAGTGTAGGTAGAGGGGGGAATTTGGGGTGGGAATATCACAGAATGTTTTTGTCCTTCCTTTATACTAATGATAGTGCTTTAGATTGATGATTGTGCTGAGACCTAGCAAACAGAAAATTTGCTATTACAGCAAAATGGCAAAAGCTAAGGACTTGTTTGCAAACATAAGCTGAGATGTAAGTAGACGCATAATTGATTGGGTACTAGCTCTCTATAGTAGGTAAATAAAAATAAAAAGACATGGCACTTTTAAAGGTAACTTTACCAAAGAACAAAGAGCCAGTAACCAATAATTCTGATTTGTCTCAGCATTACGTCTTCTGTACTCTTTATTTTTGCCGGACCAGTTTGCGGTTAGGAGAATGTGCCTTTTTTTGTACATTTGCATTTAGGTTTTATAATTTTAATTGATGTATGGACACAAAAAGCATGAAGGAAGACTTGGATCCAAGCAGTGCCACGCTTTACATCATCACTACAAGTGTTAAGTGTAAAGAAAACCAATTTTGAAACTATGAAATTCCTGATTCATAAATACACAGTTATTTGTATTTTTACGTATTAGATAATTCACTGCTATTAAGCTCTTTTATTACAATGGCATATGTTTTAAATCAAATGATAAATTAAGTTGTCTTCCAAAACTGTGTACTTGTCTGGTCAGCTGTATATGATCAGTTATCTACCTCAAAGTTTATTTCTTTTTGTACTGGGACAGGTTGCTGGCCCTCCCTGTTTCCACAGACCAAATCATCCTAGCTCAGGAGCTAGGGCTGAGCAGTTACTTCATTCAAGTATTTTTTAGTTTTTAAATTGTGTGAGTATTGGAGTATAGATGTCGGTGACATTTCATAGTTTCAAAAGTAAATTGCTGCTCTGAGAAGTGTAGATTCTAGTGAATTACATAGTCATAAGAGATGTTTGTTTTTTCTTTTTTTAAAAAAAAAAAAAAAAAAGTTGTGGTATTATTGGTTCTATGCTCCCTGGAATATTACTGCTTTGTAAAAGTCCAGACTTCCTGCAGCACCTTCCCTGTATCTGGTATATTGCCATTCTTGGATCTCTCACTACTTGATATTTTTTGCATTCGTTAAAATTGCAATATAATAGCTGTGTTAGAGGGAGGGAAGAGCTGCTGCTAGAAACGTCTGAACTAAGTGCCATACTCATTGTCTGGGTAAGATTTGGGAAATTTAACCTCTGTACATAAAGAAATAATCAGTTACTTAAACATCACATAGTAGACAGCCATTAAATTATAAAAAAAATTAATTTATGAAGAAAGACCTTTTGTACAGATTGAAAAAAAAAGATTTTCATAGAGATATCTATATGATCAAGAGAGTTAATTTTTTATTTTTGTTTTTCTAGTGCCACAAACTTGCCAGTGGTAACTTATTTGTCCGGTTCAAGATAACTCTGTAGTTTTGTTTCCTAGGACTTGTTGTTAAACGCCAAAAGACATTTTTGAACTGTACATTTGATTAGATTGTTAGCTTTTTTCTGTTTTATTTCTTTTGAAAACTTTTGAATAAAAAAGATTGAAAAAATGAAAATGTCTTCTTTCTCTTCAATTCTAACTATATCTGGAGAACGGATGGACCCCACACAGCTTATGGTGAAACTTTAGTGTTTCTTCATGTTGAACTGCTCAAATCTGGATTCCACTTCTCAGAGGCTCCCCTTCCCTCCCAAATGTTTAATTAAAATGGAATTTTAGCTTTCTTAAACGACAGGTTATTTATTGTTCTTTAAGAGCAAACAGGAAATGATTTATTATAATAGTTTTATCAAATATCTGATTTGAATGCAAAAGCTATGCCCTTCTTTACCTCAGTTCAGGCCTACGCACGTAATGGTAAATTCAGGCCTAGGTTTCTCCATAAAAAGTCTGCAAGCAACATGGGATTTAACAGTTACAGTCACTAACATCACACTGCTGCATAAAAGTGCTTTGCCAGTGCCAGCTGCTGTGAATTAAATTGGCTGAGGATGTACAATCCCAGTGAATTTCACTTAGAGCATTAGCATCACTTCAGTGCAATTGTATGATGTTAATTGGTCACCTTTAGCCTCAGTCTGAAAGAGAGGTGAAAAAGAAAACATACAGAAGGACACAAACATATTGATGTTCTAAAGAGATTTCCCTCCAATTGTGCTATCTGTAGCAAGAGGTGCTGTTCATGTGGTATGTGTGTGTTGTCCTGCCCCAGGCTTCTAAACCAAATAACTTACTGCAAAATATCAAAAACTCTTTCCCCCGACCAAGCATTAAATAGCCAAATATCTAAAACGGGTAGGCAACCTATGGCATGCGTGCCGAAGGCGGCACGCGAGCTGATTTTCAGTGGCACTCACACTGCCCGGGCCCTGGCCACCGGTCTGGGGGGATCTGCATTTTAATTTAATTTTAAATGAAGCTTCTTAAACATTTTTAAAACCTTATTTACTTTACATACAACAATAGTTTAGTTATATATTATAAACTTATAGAAAGAGACCTAAAAACGTTAAAATGTATTACTGGCACGTGAAACCTTAAATTAGAGTGAAATAAATGAAAACTCGGCACACCACTTCTGAAAGGTTGTCGACCCCTGATCTAAAATATAGCTGTTTCTGGGATGTTGTAGATATGGTGTGAAGCAGACTCACTACGCGCTAGCCATTTTTGTTACTTTCCCTCTCCTTAGAAACAGCCCTATTTTTTATATATATAATATAGGGCTGTTTCCAAGGAAAGGGAAAATAACAAAAAATTGCTTTTTTATATATATTATATATATATTATAACACATACATACAGATGTAGTGACAGCCAGGATGCTGACAGCATGATTTTTCTCCTTTGGAGCTGATCAAAGGAGCTTTGAGTTCCGGTTTGTCTCTGGGGGCCAGGGGAGGGGAGATGATTGTTATTTTAGACTTACGTAATAAAATAACATCTGTACTAATTCTTATTGCATAAATGAAAAGACTGGACTATACTGCATACTAATTAAGGATAAATAAAATTTAGAGAGATCCATAAGTGAATGTATACTGTGTTTACTGCTTTGTCGAGCTGTTCATCTAACCCAGGGGTAGGCAACCTATGGCACGTGTGCCGAAGGCGGCACGCGAGCTGATTTTCAGTGGCACTCTCACTGCCCGCGTCCTGGTCACCGATCCAGGGGGTTCTGCATTTTAATTTAATTTTAAATGAGGTTTCTTAAACATTTTTAAAACCTTATTTACTTTACATACAACAATAGTTTAGTTATATATTATAGACTTAGAGAAAGAGACCTTCTAAAAATGTTAAAATGTATTACTGGCAAGCAAAACCTTAAATTAGAGTGAATAAATGAAGACTCGGCACACCACTTCTGAAAGGTTGCCGACCCCGATCTAACCAGTGGCTCAACAATTCACCCATCTAAAATCAAATGAGCGTGAAGATTTACACAAATCTGTGAGGGACCATATTCCTCTTTACTATCATTCTTAAATTAATTGGAATGAATAAGTAGTATTCATGTATTCAAATACGAATGTTCTATTTTATTACCAATTTTATATGGCGTCTTATTAGCTTTTCTTATTAGCACTATGATGCACTTTAGCTCTTTATTACATAATCAAATGTATTTGAAAAGAATCAATACTCTGAGATCAGTGGTTTCTGCCTGGCTGGTGAATATGCCACACAATATATCACCCGGTCTTCAATAATACAGATCTCTGTATCACCAGCGTTGGGGTGGCCAGAGTGCCATAACCCCTCACACACACTTCTTAACAAAAGAAACATATGCGCTTTATGGGATATTTAAGTATTAATTCCTCTGCCACTTTGGCCATGTCCATCACCACCACCATACACACTTCTACAAAGGTTCCGGCGCGTAAAGAGCCATTGTCCCCCACCCCTTAAAACCGGACTGGGAGATAGAGCACTGTGACCTGGCCGGCACCTGGGTCCCACTCCACATTGAGCCACATGCCAGCAACTGAGCCCTCACCTGTCGGCTAGCAAAACTACAGCGGAAAGGTGCCGGGGACCCTCCAGGTCTGGGAAGCAGGAAAGACCTGTCACCAGAGGGCTTCGGACTGGTCGGCAGAGAGAGTAAGGTAAGGAGAGTGGGGTGGGAGGATGGACATGGTAGTTAGGGGCAGGAGCTCTAGTAAGGTGGGAGGAGTGGGAGCTCAGGCTCCAAGAGGGTTGGGCTGTTGTGCATGGGGGCTTCGCCCCCCAACTCTTCCAGTCCTGGTGCCCATGCTCTGTATGCAATATATTTTAAATACACACCTAAAACTCAGTGTATATCACACAATTATATATATTATTATATATCTCAAAATTACTGAAGAAGAGCTCTGTAGTTCAAAACTGGTCTTTCTTTCACCAACGGG